TATATATATATATATATATATATATATATATATATATATATATATATATATATATATATGATGACACTATATTCCGGGATATCATCCGTTCGCTCGTTGAACTCCGACTGGAATCCTGCAAATCTTGCATCCGACTGGAATCCTGCAGACGTTTCGCCAAAATCTCACTTGGCATCTTCAATGCTCGCGCTCCGAAAACACTTCGAACACTCGAAGTGTTCGAAGTGTTTTCGGAGCGCGACGAGCGAACGGATGATATCCCGGAATATAGTGTCATCACATTTTTCCATCCGTGAATCAATACGTGAGAATATATATATATATATATATATATATATATATATATATATATATATATATATATATATATATATATATATATATATATATATATATATATATATATATATATATATATATATATATATATATATATATATATATATATATATTTTTTCACGTATTGATTCACGGATGGAAAAATGTGATGACACTATATTCCGGGATATCATCCGTTCGCTTGTTGAACTCCGACTGGAATCCTGCAGACGTTTCGCCAAGATCTCACTTGACATCTTCAATGCTCGCGCTTCGAAAACGATTCGGAGTGTTCGAAGTATTTTTGCACGCTAGATGGGTGTATAATTATATAATTTACAAAAGGGAGTAGAAAATAGTATATTATTGAACAAGTGTGGTAATAGCATAAATGCAAAAAGTGTGGTAAATAGCAAAGTTTACCTAACGTGTTGCACACTATAATTTTTCTACGACCGTTAGTTTTTGGGTACATTTTTGCAAAACAATACGAATACATTGACTGACATGACCGTGAGAATTGACAAACGTCAATATTTAAGCCGTAAGGTAAAATCTCCGAAAATGTCCGAAGTGGCTCGGATCCGTGGGACAAGAAACTCTTGTGCTAAAGTGACGCTTCCCGCACACTAGATCGGTGTATAAATAGGTATTTTACAGAAGAAAGTAGAAAAATAAATTATGCACGGACCAGGCATGCAGAAAGTGTAATTTTAACGTCGGCTTATTCATTACCCACGGTACTTTAGTCATTTGTTTGGGAGCGATCAGATGATTTCGGAAAATTGTAGCTATGTCATTTTAACGTCTATCAATACGTTAATTTTTAAGAAACAACACCCTAATATAAAACTTCACGTGTTTTATGCTTTAAAAAATTTATGGACTACACAATACTTTTTGAGCGAATAGTATGAAAATTATTTTCTTGAATTACCTGTATAAAAAAATCCTTTCTATTTTTCTTAACTATATATTGATCATAACTTGGTTAGTTTAGATAGCAACATCGATCGAAAATTTCACCTTTCCCTTAGTCCGACAAATTCCAATCTCGCCAGTATGCAGGGCAAACCGAAATTGTGAACGTCAAAATTTTCTGGTTAATAACTTTCAGCAAACTGCAACTACGAGGAGCAAAGCTCTCGAATGTAGGCTAGTAATTGCTTTGTGGTGTCAAGGGAATTATTTCGCCAATGATCCTACGAAAATTATACGCGACACCGCAGCAATTAAATGCTTCTCTTCGTAATAAACTACGCATAAACTTTAACGAAACGTACGAAAAAACACAAGAGTCGAAAAAAATTATGTGTGGCAGAATCTGAATAACACTATACCCAAAAAATAGACAAGTCAATTATGAAATGTTTAATAACTGAATACCTCTTTTTAACCTCCTAAAGTGCCAGTCATCCACCTACGTGTGCTGGTGAAGTCTTATTAGTGAAAAATTCTTGCCCAGTCCTTGTCGAAGGCCGATTCCATCGTTTCCGGTACTTTAATCACAGGTCGGGAACCATCGAATGTTTTCGGTAGATATTTAAAATGCTGAAGGTATTTTGACGTTTCTTAATTCCGATGCTCAAATTACACCTCACTCAGTGAATGTATGCCTGTTGCTCTGTAAGAAATACCCAAAAGCTGGTGGTCATAAAAAAATTTTATTAGAATTTATTATAAATTTCTTCAGAAACTCGTTTATTCAAGACATTGATGATTTTATCGCAAGAATTACCTTATTTCGAGTTCTTGTTTAGAAATATTGTTTACTGTAACTTTAAGATATTTTTCTTATTGCAGACGGTACTAAAAATTTTACCAAAATCGTTGTCGACTGAAAATTGTTGCATATTTCTGTACATTTTTTCAAAACACCCCCACAGGTTGCCACATACCATTTAAAATTACTCCTGCGTTAATTGTTGATGGATGGGAGTTGCTGACGTTTCGCCAATCATACTGGTTGCTTCTTCAGAGCTTAGCTGAATCTAGTTTGCATTCTACTATGTTTGAAGGCTACAGGAGGGACATTAGCATCATCTCAGATGACTGATTTCCATATTGGTGAAAGGACCTGAGTCGCGGACTTTTTTGGTTGAAGAATTGATTTATGTTCCGCTACTGCTCAGTTAAGCTCTGAAGACGCTAACAGTATGACTGGCGAATCGAAAGCAAGCTCGATTCATCAGAAACCGATGCAGGAGGAATCCAGAAGATTTGTAGATAGCCTTCCTATAAATTTTTCCGAAATTACTTGACCTTGTATTTGGAAATGATCCCCTTAGCATCTAGTTTTTTAATTTTGTTGCTTACGTTTGCAAGCACTGTCATCTATTTTTCAGAAAACAAAAGTAATTAAATAAAATTTGGTCATGCAGGTCATGCAGGTTTGAAGCGAAAATTTCTGTTGCACTCACCGTAGAGGAATTATGGTATGCAGTATGAGCGAATTTCACAGGACTTCCAAGGAAAGATTTCCAGGGAATTATATATATATATATATATATATATATATATATATATATATATATATATATATATATATATATATATATGATGACACTATATTCCGGGATATCATCCGTTCGCTCGTTGAACTCCGACTGGAATCCTGCAAATCCTGCATCCGACTGGAATCCTGCAGACGCACATTTTTCCATCCGTGAATCAATACGTGAGAATATATATATATATATATATATATATATATATATATATATATATATATATATATATATATATATATATATATATATATATATATATATATATATATATATATATATATATATATATATATATATATATATATATATATATATATATATATATTCGCCAAAATCTCACTTGGCATCTTCAATGCTCGCGCTCCGAAAACACTTCGAACACTTCGAATATAGTGTCATCACATTTTTCCATCCGTGAATCAATACGTGAGGATATATATATATATATATATATATATATATATATATATATATATATATATATATATATATATATATATATATATATATATATATATATAGTTATGAACATAAATTTTGCATATAATGTACGCTCAATTTTAAATTGATATTGCCACTTCAGCGTAGGCAGCAATTAAATATATATTATATAATTCCTTCATGGAAGGGTTAAAATAAAATATTTGAGAACCATAAGTATATACGTTTCGATCTTCAGCAATTATAAATTTTATTATTTTTATCAATTGGATTAATTGTTTTATTACCGATTATTTCAAACGGAGTCTAGATTAACTTAGTTTTGATTAATACATTTCAAATATACTATACACAACTAACAAAAAATTGGGTCCACAACTATACGGGGTTCTTTGGCCACTTTTCTATCGCCAGTATTGTATTTTGTACGTCGGAAGTTTCATCAATATTGCGGGAATATTGGAATCGGAAGTAAATAAAAAGAAACTAATTTGCAATTTTATATAGAACACTTTATTGTTAAATAACTTTACATTAAACGCGGTAAATGTAATTTTGGTATTATTCATAGAGATAGAATAAAGATTGAAACATAAATATACTTTTTTTACAATATTCTCATTCCCTTAATAAAATTTGTAACTTCGACACCGAAGTACAATATCACATATAAGACAACGGTATTTAAAATAGTGTATTTACACATTTTTTTACAAAGTTTGTGCTAACAGTATATTTTTCCATTCTTTTTCACAATAATCTATCGCCATTGAAACGTAGTACGAATCTATGACTAGATTCGCAAAAATTAACTAGCTTGGACATATTATTTTAGATTTTTAAGAATTTGCTCTCTGGTTCTGACTACGATCCCAAAATGGAACCACGTTATATTTTAGGCAAATTCATAACAATTCCCCTAGCAAATTTCGCACTCAGTCTCCCATATAAAAATTATTTAGTTACTATTTTTACGAAATTTATACTAGAAACACTTAAAATCTATTATTGTATTTTCAGGTTAGACATGTTCATAAAATTGACTAGAAAATAACGCACCTATAATATACATATAATACATCCACAACTGGAGAAAAAATATCTAAAAATGTTCACTATCTACTTAGGTAAACTGTCAATTTAGGAAACAAATAACGAGGATCACCACATGCTTTAAAGAATAAGTTATCAAATTTGAAGTGTTTTAGATTTTGAAACTTATAGAATAACAGTTAAAAATAGGTTCACGCTGAATGGGTTAAATTGAAAATAATCAAATATTTAACTAGCTAGATTTAATGATGATATCTACAGTTACCTCGACTCGCCAATCAATCAAGTACTAATTTAAGGGTGTGATTTATATATTAATTTAATTTGCTATATTTATTACTTATTTAAATCGAAATTATGGAATGATATAACAAAAAATTAAATAAATATCTATAATTGGAAGCTTTACTTTGAAGAGGTGTGTACATTTGAAAATGATATTTCGCCGATAGCGGAACCGAACAAATATATACCATAGATATATATATATATATATATATATATATATATATATATATATATATATATATATATATATATATATATATATATATATATATATATATATATATATATATATATATATATATATATATATATATATATATATATATATATATATATATATATATATATATATGTAAATTAAACAATATGGTATTCAATAAAAACAACTTCTGATTTTTTCCCTAGTTTCAATTATTCACTTGTTTCATTTTACAAGATATTCGGCATGTTCAAGTCAATCTCTGTATTTGCCATTATTCATATAACTTTTGGAAAACCCTGTAGATGGTGTGCCATATTATAACCAAAGAACCTGTAACTACTTACATATATTTATGGCAGTACGTTGTAGGATTTATTTTAACCTTCAGATGAAATCGGAATCATTTAACTAATCAATCCTTTATGAAGTTTACCAAATGTTTTATGAAGAGACCAGCTGAATAACCAAGTAACATTCAATTCAATGAAAACACAAAGCTTGTTGACATCAAAATTTTTTGGACAATGAATGGAATTTTCTGAATACTTTTTGCAAAATAAAACTTTCAAACATAAGGAAATGTGTATTTTTCGATGAACATTTCTAGATATTCCATATAGGCATTACACCAATTTACGAAATATTCTTAAATAAATTAATAGAAAATATGACCTATTTATTTAAAAGTTGAAGCCCCAAAAGCTTTGATATCTTTATAGCCATTGGATCGAACATGTTCCCATTCTTTGATACGACACATAATTATGTTTAGAACAAAATAACCGTTAACGCAGACATTACCCACAAATTTAAAAAAGGTAATAGCACTTAAAATACTAATTTTTTTTAAGATATCTTTCTAAACGAACGATATGGGATTTTAGGATATGTCGTTATAAATTGATTGTTTTGGTTCGTTGACAACTGGGATATTGACAATTTAACGTTTAACAGTTCTTATAATATAATCGACGAGAATATATGGAAATTTAAGATATGTGTAAAACCAGCATTTCTTATTTCAAATTTAATTTTTAGTTAATACATTGAAACTCAAAACGTGTGACCGACATACTATGAGGGTCAAGGACGTAAAAAGCGATGCAAGAAACTCAATCAAACATCTTCCTTCTCCATAGTGCTTTATTGAGTGAGCATCTGGCATTTTCAATTTACTTATTACACTTTGAGGTCGCCCTTAACAAAAGCTAACAAAGCTTCATTTCCAAATCGAGGATTTATGAGCTAGCTTTTTCGCACTCTTCCATTTCTGATCCCAATTGCGCACTCACCACATCATCATCTTAACAATTAAATTATTTACAGTGAGTAAGATTCATACGACAACACTCATAAATTTAAACACAACTCTCCTGTTGACAACCCATCAACGGGGTTCGAACCGTAACCACCTCCCTGTGGTATATACCTTGCTTGGTGGCAGGGAATAAGGAGGAAACTGGGGATACTAGAGGTGAGGTCTTGCTGATGGGTATGGGCGGTGGAGGCCTCCGGCCGTGGTCTATTTGGGTGTAGATCGTTGAGTCGTCACCTTTCCGTAAGGTGGCGTACTGCTGACCACAGGAATATTGTTGACCTCCGTTTTTGATTGGATCCAAGGAATTTGGCCTGGACAGCGACAGTTCGGCGTAAACAACCTCATTGGTTAACTGAAATGCAAACGAAAACAATCGCGGTTAAAAGAATATGCAAATCTGTAAAAAGATATAGAACTAATAATTGAAAATACAAGCATATTAAAAATTTCTTGACATTTTCTTTGGTGCCCCAGTAGGTTGCTACAAACTTGATAGTTGTCGCGTTAATTGAATGCCTCAGGTCCACTGACTCTGATAAATACCCCGATAATGTGCCCATACTGACCAATTGCGAAAGTGTCATAATCGCTAAAATTCGAAAATTTCTGTTACCTAGACTACGAAACTTTAATGTTAACTAAAATACAATAATAAGTTAACTTTTAAAGAAGAACTTATAAGTTTGTAAACAGTTCCGACTTACATTGTTATAACCAAAGTTAATTTTACAGGTTGTCTTCGAGCAGTCATACCAAACAATTGCACTTATACAGTAGCCGATATTAATCGAACCGAAAAGATTGAAATTTCTTTTTCTCGTTTGACGAACCACTATCTCCACATTAGCCATTCTTAGAAGATCTTTAGAGTCCCAACAACTCAATTTTTTGCTAAATTCAAGTCTCTTTGGAATTGACTTCCTCTCTCTCTCTCTTCTCGCAAAATTATCACCAAACTCAATGCTTTTCTATAATCTGCTCTACAGTCTACTATTGGAGAATAAGCTCCCTGGTCGGACCACATTTCGCTTCTATGATAATAACCCAGCTGCGATTCCAAATTTGAAAATTTAATTTTTCAAATAAATTTTCCAGCAAAAAAAATCGTAAATTATTAATCTTTCAATCGTTGATAGTATATAACATGAATAAATTTAGTTTGATACGACATTTTTGAGGTGGGCCTTGATTTTAGTTTAATCGTCCATAAAACATAATGGCTATGGACTTGTCGGTCTTATCTTTCAAAAATCCCTTAAGAATTTTGTGGCTAAACCGGCCATGAAAGCCTACTTTGTTGTAGTATGTTAAATATATTCCCTATTCACTTGGGCGTTGGAATGCTAAACGCCTTGTTTTGCCCCATTATTTTGGAGTATTGTCAATTTTTGATCATCTTATTGTGAGTCAGTTTCCTTCAGTTTATCTTTGTATACTGAAGTGAGATATGCACAAAGTTGCAGACGATTCCATCGGATTCGCAGCAAGATTTAAAAACAAGCGTGCTTTGGCGGACTACTCCGCGTTCAATTAACACTAGAAAATTGAAAACATGTTCCCTGAAAACTTGCTTTGCTTGCGAAAAGTTTTGCCTCTACTACATTAAGTAAAACTTTTGAATCCTAGTTCGGATACTTTTATTTTAAAACCTCGACCGACAGTGTTCTGTTCTCCTTCGACAAACAAATCTTTTACGAGCATCTTAGTTCAGCTAAATACCGCTTTCGAGTTTTACCCTCTTCGCCTTTTTGAAACTTTAAAAGGACAGCAACTTCGAAGTTGGCACCACCGCGGCTTTGCATACATTTTGACTAAAAATTTGCAAAACACATCACATGCAAAATACCGTTTGCCTATTCAATATTCATACTGCATATACATTGAAGACAACATTTGCATATGAGCTGCATCTTTTATAAACGCACATGCGGTGAAAACTACCGTATATATCTTACTCAAAATGTAACGGACACGCAATAGAATTTGAAGTTTTACTTTTACTGGATTGTAATGAATTTTTTTATATTTTGAATAGTGCAATGCAGACATGCCGATTCCTATGGAGATAGTTTTGGTTAAGGAGCAAATATGTTAAATTTAGTTTGCAAAGCTAATGAGCCGAGGCAAAGCTAATGAGTCGAGGAACAAGTTAAAAGAAAACAGTAGCAAATGGTCACCAATGAATTTGATAAATAATCTGAAAGCCTACTTTAGCAACACGAAGTATTGGACTGAAAAGTGTGAAGTAATTGATGCCCATAATTAATGAATTATTTAATTAATTACGAGGTATTACTGAGCATATTAGGTGAAGGTGCAAGCGGTGAAATTCTTGTGGAATATCATGAAAAAACGTTTTTCTAGGAGACAGCTTGTGCCTAAGAGTAGTAAAACGCTATCTACCAATTTTCTGGATTTCTCCTGCGTCGGTTGTGGATGAATCAAACTTGCTGATTTTTCGCCAATCACCCTGCTCTCTTCTTCAGAGCTTAACTGAAACTGGTCTGCATTCTACTCTGTCGCTGATTATGATATGATATGATTTTTCTTTGGTAGAAGAGTAGATTACATGCAAGAATTTTAGTATAGTCGAATAAGATTTGATTTCATGTTCTTTTAGCTTAGATGATATTTTTCGTCATGTCAATCCAATGTACTTTGTCTTTGACCGTTCAAAGATGTTGAGAGATTTTTTTTTTGATAAATCTGGTTGTAATATTATATCTTTTAAAAACATTTGGTATGTGGTCTGTAATTTTTTATATGTATTCTGTAATGAAAAACACCAGGCATTACATTGTAAAGACAGGACAAACAATATTATCTAAGACAAAACATCATGACCTTACACTAAATAATTTCATTAGCACGACCATAATCGTGACACCTGACATCAAATCTTATTAGACTAAACTAAAATTCTTGCATATGCTCACATGTTCTCCTGCAAAAGAAAAATCCGAGAAACTATATAAATCTCTAAACAACCAAACAATCTTAACCACGACTCCTTTAGATCCGCTTCTCTTAGACAGTATATAAACAGGTACAGGGTAGAACGCAAACTAGTTCCAATTAACCTCATCACCAGGATGATTGACGAAACATCAGCAAGTTCGAAGCTCCTTTAAAAAGGTGCGCATTACTTTTGCATCAACGGAATTTGGCAAAACAAGTTTTGTTTAAGCAAATTTGTCATGAAACATATATTTTTTGCATCACGACCTTAGTTGAGTACTGCGGAAAGCAGTAATAATAATAATGTTTATTTCCATTGACTTTTAACAAAAGTATCGGGGAATAATAAAAAAATAATAAAAAATACATTAAAAACAAATACGTACAACACACAAAGGATATCACACTGAGAGATCGGCATTACTACATTCAAAGTATTCTTCGATAAAATAAAAATCGTTCTTATTCAAAATGAGCTTTAATTTTTGCTTAAATAAATGGACAGGCAATGTATGTCTGACAGACAAGGGCAACTTATTATATAGTTTTAATGGTAAAAATATAGGGCTGTTAGCTACTTTGATTAACTTATGACTTGGCACCTGCAAATTAAGATTAGCTCTAAAATTGTAATCTCCATCAATCCTGGTCATGCAATAATTAGATAGATTACTCTTTATGTAACGTTAAAATACTTAATTTTGGGAACAGGGTTCTACAAGAGTGGCCACGAGGCTTCCCCAACATTGTTCGAACAATACGTTCTTGTTGAACAAAAACTTCACTAGCTCTGGAAGAGTTTCCCAAGCATATAATAGCGTAAGATAAGCAAGATTGAACATATCCGTAATAATACAATAGTAAAAGCATGCACCACAAAAGTATGCATAGCTATTTTGTTCAATACGTAGTCAATTTGGCCTGTCCTATGAACAAACCCAAATACTTAACGTTAGTCTGATTAATGGATTTATCCTGCATTCTAACCAAATTCAAACATCATCTCAGTCTTTGTCCCGTTCAAACAAATACCGTTACGCGCACAATATCGGGTCATACCACTTACTGCCCTAGTGGCCAACAACGTTAGATCTTCCAGACTCCTAGATGACACTGCCACAGCAGTATCATCTGCATATAAGGAAACATAATTGTCTGGAAAAGAATCAGATATATCATTAATAAATATTATAAATAATAAAAGTCTCAGTATGCTTCCCTATGGGACACCGCTGGTGAGTTCTTTAGATAAGGATCTAATCACAGAAGTGTCACTTCTAAGCACAACTCTTTGGTCACGACCCTTCAAAAACGACTCAATCTAGGCGTAAATATTCCCCCGTATACCGCAATTATTTAACTTATTCAACAAAAAAAGTTCGCTTGAAGTCCAAGAACGTACATAATGTTTTATTACTCCGATCCAGGTTCGAGACTATTTGATTATATAAGGAAACTAAGCCCTCTTGACTAGATAATCGATTGCGAAAACCAAACTGAGATTCGAGAAAAATTGCTCCTTCTTTAGAAATGCATCGAGCCGCATGTAAAAACACTTTTCGAATATTTTGGAAAAAACCGATAACCGATTTAAGTTTTAAGGCTTAGGGAAATACACCTTCTACAAAAGACAGATTAATCAAAAAAGTAAGAGGTTCAACTATAAAATCCGTAACACTCCCTACCTTCATCATCAATGAAGTAATCTGGAAACTTTTTATGTTTAGATAGGTTAGTTTCATTTTTTACAATCGCAGCTGTATAGTGTGGACACTTTTTCTATAGTTAGTTTTCGAAAGACAACAAACATATTAGATACCTTAATCAGGAAAAGTTCAAACATTTTTTCCGCGATCGTTAGCAAAATTGCTCAAAATTACTTTCTTTTTCGGTAATTATCCTCTACAGATTTTCTAAATAGCATTTTTTCTCGCAGAAACTAACCAACAATGTAATTTAGTTGAGATATTTAGAGGCAAATATTTTCTATTTAATTTATTTTCTAAAAAATGCTTTGCCATTTATTTGATACACGAAAATACCGTTTCCGTACCGACAAATTAAATAGCATGTATTATTAAATTCTCAATTAATTAAAAATTTATCATTTTACCCAGTTATTTCGTGAGCCGGTGGGTGAAGAAATAACACAAACATGTGCAGAGTATTTAGTTGCCACCAGAATTACCGAACACGTTTAGTCGCCGGTCTGAAAACCTCTCTTCGCATACATTCTAAATTCCAAAAGCTAATTTAATCTGATGTTTCAGTTAATTTTGCCGGCCGCAGAATAAATCCACGGAAACCAATTCGAACTGTTTTAGTACAAATAACATTCCTATGCGTTTCACTAGTTTTGAAGTGGTTACAGGGTAAAATTGCGAGTCCGATGTACTTCAACGCACCTATTGAAAGCATTTTCAACACATTCACATGTGATTACACCATCTGTTTGAACGGTGAACATTTAATGTGTAGTGCGGTAAGTAATTATAAGGTTGCCATCGCAATATTGAAATAAATAAGTCTGGACACCTAGAAATGCAAAGACGAAATCGTATAGTATAATACGAGCGGACGATGTACGAAATAATAATAAAAAATATTTATACTTATATTAAATTGATTTTTTTTTGCCTTTTCGATTGAAAAATGAAATCACGCACTTATTTTTATACCAAAAAGTGCTATCGTAATGAATTATTTTTTTATTTCGCATAAATTACATAACAAAATATCAAACACATTCCGAATTTGCTGAAAAATAAATATTCGGACGCATTTAAATCTTTTACTTTAAATCGAGCATTAATAAGAAGTAACATCACCTTTCGCGGCAATAACAGCTTTTATGCGTTTTGACAAAAAAAAAATTTCGGTGATTTTTGCCATTAATGCTGGAACTGTACGTAGAGGATTGTTACGCAAAGTCTTTTTCATTCGATGCCATAAAGTTTCAATAATATTCAAGTCGGGGCTACTTGATGGTCACGATACAATTTTCATATTATGGTCCCCAAACCACTTTTTTGTTGTTTTCGCACCGTCTTGTTGAAATATAAAATTTTCATTTCCAAAAGTTCGTTCTATTGATGGAATCAAACTTCTTAATAAAATTTGTTGGTATTTTTCTGCATTTACAGTACCATCAATGAACTCGCAGTTGCCAACCCTTTTGCGCTTTAGACAATGTTTGTGAAAAGCTTCTGATTTTGTACGAATCACCCTTTTTCGAAAATCGCCTACACACACATCAGATTTTGATTCGTCGCTGAAGATAACGTTATTCCACGTTACCGTTGTACAGAATATTTTAGATTTTGCCCAATTCAAACGTTTTATCTTCTGAATAGACGTTAATAATGGTTTTTCCTTTGTCTTTAACAAAGGTAGATCATAGAATATTAATAATTTTTATATTGAAACAACATTCCCTGGAGACATTTAAGATTGCCTCATTATTCTATTGGGCATGAATTTGTCGTAAGACGCTTCGTCTGCTAGTTTTACAAATCTTGACCAGAATACGACGGTCTCTTTCAGTGATTTTACGGGGTCGGCCTGAACTTTCACCACGAACACTAACACTAGCTTTCTCTCCATACTTTTTTATAATATCCCCGACTGTTGATTTTGCAATACTTAAGTCATTTGACATTTTTTGCATTGATTTACCTCTGCAGTACTGAGATATGATAATTTCTCGTATTTTTTTATTTGTTGCAACACCACGCGTCATTTTCTTATCAACTATTATACAAACTTGAAAGATACAACCCGAACTGACATCACATTTATCTAAAAACATTGATTTCTTGGTCAATAAACATTCGCGTCCGAATATTTATCTGTCAGCAAATTTGGTATGTTTCCGTTATTTTTCAATGTAATTCATGCGAAATTAAAAATAATTCATTACGTAAATGCGTGCGTAAATTGATTATTCAATCGACAAAGCAAAAAAAAAATTAAATAGATATAAAAATCTCTTTTTTGTCATTTTTTATATCGTTCGAACCTTTAATTGTTAGGGCTCGTATGTATTGGAAATCTGCGTCCTCCATTCTTTACTAGTGGGAGCTACATTTCCACCAATAGGTCATGCAGATTTCCTCTCTATTCAACCCTTTATTTCAAATTCGGATATAAAAATTCGTTATATAAGAAGGGTAAGGTATTATTGAAACAGAATATTAAATTTGAAATCATAAGTAACGTAAACGGGCAAAGATAAAATGCCGAGAAAGGTTTCCTACTTTCCGAAAAGCCGTAACTATTTATTTTTCCTTTCCCGTTAGGACATATTTAGTGTTTGGTGGCAAGGAAAGCAATCGCCTCAAATGTCGCTCGATTAATACTCAAAGAAAAGTATTTAAAGACTCCAAGTCTATTAAAATAGTTGAGGCTTTTTGGAGTTATCGATTTTTATTTCAGAGGGCAGCGCAAAATTTCTTTCAACTTTAAGGCAGTACTCAATCTAACCGATATAAGAAAATAAAATGAAGATGGCAATTACACTTCCCCCCAGCATTTAAGATATTTTTGGTTTTCGGATCACAAAAAAAATCGAATCGCTGGACTTCGCCATTTCGAAATGAAAATTTATTCAATTAATCATATTCACGCACGTGGAAATTTGTGAATAAGAAATATTTTTATCGTTATTTTTATTATTTTAAGGTGTGTTTTCCGTTTCATTAATATTTAGAATTTATAAGCATTGTTACTACACCAAAACTATCCGGTACGTTTGCATCGCAACATATTTCTGCACTTCCACATTTTTAGGTGGCAGAAGTTATTTGGTAAAATGTTCTTTTAGTAAATCTAGTCAATTATTTCAGGATGATAATAATTGTACGACTTTTGTGCGCGGAGGTGATTATCCGAATTATTGGTATAGCTACTTCAAATTTTGTTCAAATCAAGTTAGTCAGTCAATGTGGGGGGAATACTCCATTTAATCACTATCTCAAATAACTGAAAAAATGATAGTTAAAATTTTATACGAATTATTTACAAATTGATGCATAGTCATGGGCTTCCGTAATGTCTATCCAGGACAAATTTATTCTATTTTTTTCAAATGCAGGAATTGAAAACTATGCTAAGGACCGTGTAAAAACATAACATGTTAAAATATGAGAATTACGGCATAAAGTAAATTGTTTTCTCAGATTGTGAAGAGTGGGCGGCCAGGCGGCAGCGGCGACAGGCGGAGTACAGCATCCAATTTCAAAAATCAATCATAAATCTCATTATATGTGGGATGTGAATGAGAACCGGAGATCACGACTATGATTCCGCATTGACTCGCTACCCCACAAAAATGGAATTTGGCGTGCGTCACATATTATTTCCTTGCAATATAACATATATGTAATTATTAAAAAAATATTGTTTACCATGTCCGTGACTTTTCTTTGTTATACTTAAATCAAATTTTGGCATAGGAATTAATTACATAGAACAAAGTTTTCAGAATTACCATTACAGAGAAGAAATATCCGTTGTAGTAAATAAGCAATGGAAGATGCAATTCTAGTAGATTTGGAGACTCCCAAGAATACTAACTATAAAGTCCAGTCAGAGCATTTGTCCAGTTACGTCATAGCAATACATCTTTATCTAGTTGTTTCTCAGTAGCTAAGACATACGGACTATACGTGACGCAACTGCACAACTGCTCTGAGTGGAGTTTACCAAACCATCTTTTACATTTTACTCAATGTATGTATGTGTGTATGTTTTTAGTTTTTGAATGTTGAGTCGGTGAGGTGTAATTTTCAATAGTCAACAAATAAATAAAATATAACAAAAATCACTGGAAAATTCAGATATTAAGCAATTGTAATTGTACTTGCCTGTTACAAGGAAAGCATTGTCACTTAAACTGAAACTTACGTGTTGTGGAGCAAAGGTCCGATCACGTGCCATATATGCCTCCCCTAGTGGCGTGATATTCTGCAGCGGGGATGACAAAGATACTAGTGGAGATGTGCCGGTCTGCCCATAATCTCCCGAATTGCACATCGACGGTGGTATTGAATTATTTAGGCCGGGGGTTTCTGCTGCGGAGCCCAGCTGATAATCTGAGTCTGTAGAGATTAAATATTGAATGATCAGTAACGGGAGGCATCAAAGCTTGAACTAGTTAAGTTAAAAACCCAATCTGTTTTCGAAAACTTAATAAATTGAGCTCGTTTATAGAATTATTTCCTTTTGGACGAAAATAATATTAGCTTATAAGTTGTCCGTTTTATATACAATGTATCCATGGAAGGAGTAGACAAGAGGATAAATATCCTAGAAAGTGAAAGATGCGCCAAAAAATTAGTCGTTTGTTGGCTAGAACGAAAATGAAGCTTCAACACTAATTAATTTTGAAATCGGTCAATGAAATCGGAAAATGAAAACAAGCACAAAGTGTACAGGTTAAAAAAAAAGCTATTTTAGAAATGTGATAACGTGAACTAAAAGCCGTCCATATAAATCAGTTTTTAACCATATCTTAGAATATTGGAACAGTGGCAAGCGCTTGGATTTCTGTTCGTGGATCGGCAATAAAGTTCTATGCGACACTTAGCACGTGAGATGGTGGAGTAATGAAAATCCAGGGCTTAGAATTGCGAACCATCGGCAATACTTTTAAAAAGTAATTTTTTCGAGTGCCATATCCTATTCTGGAATTATACGATTTTTTTGATAATACGCTCCCTGTTTAAGAGGGGCCTATCCCTTATCTCGAAACCTACGGGGGGTTACAAAAAATAAAAATAAAAATTGTTTCCATCAAGCTTGACTCTTGAGTCTCAAGATCATTACACTAGCCTGTGGAAGTTTCTTTGAAAAATTATCGTACGGATGTTAAATTTTGTTGGTAAAATATGGGTACTAAAATTCTAGATCTCCAGATTGCGCACCATACATATGGATTTTCGCCCCTACTTCTTTACTTCAAAAACACATTTTTTATTTTCTGAACTTCAATATTGATTTATCGGTCCAAATTATATTTTGAAATATGTTCCATCCATCCATCATTATTTTGCAAAATTAGAGTCTTAAGTTTATCTGACAGCAAGAATCGGACTTTTGTTTTGTGAAGTCCGAAATAATACACTTAAAATATTATAATACACTGATACCTGTTAATACATCAGTAATATTACCGCAACAGAGGACTACTATTGTTTCCAAAGCTACTGCGATGATTATGTCAAAAAGGTAAAAATTAATAATATCAATTTTGTGTTTGTGTCTTTCAAGAGGCAAGAATTTTTCTTTTAAGGACTTTATTTACAAGATTTTTAAATTATGAATGACAAAGCATTTATGTATTTTTGGAAAATAATTGCCAATTAAGCCAAAACGGTAAGTCAGAGACCCTATGTTATATAATAGGGGATATTCAACAATCCAATAATATATAAGAAAACTGAGAAAAGTATCATTTGGCAAAACTTGGCAAAACCGCGTATTTTAATGAAATATTTTAAATTTGATCGTTGCTTAAAGAAAAGCATTATTTTGGTGAAAATAATAGACGGAAAAAAGTTTAAAAAGTCAATAAGCAACCCAACAATGATGGTTTAAACAAAACGCGAATTCTGAAGATGATCGCTAGTAAGTTCGAAACAGTGCATCACAGACCCATACTCATATATATCGTTGAATTTTTCTTTGAAAAATGTAGGGTGTTCTATTTAAAAAAAAATTTAACTTTGTTTTACCACCCTGTGTATAAAAAAGTGGCGATTAGGACAATAAAAAAAAAGTAATTTTAATAAAAACAACTTTTGTATTTAAGTTTTTTGTAACCTCCGTAGGTTTCGAGATAAGGTAAACGGAACACACTCTACATGCTGGAAACATAGTTATCTGACAATTTCGAAGGATTGCCTTTTCACCATCACCGAAATATGTATTTTCAGCATGATAGGTGTACCGGTCCAGATGTCAAAGAATTTTTCAATCGCAAATTTGGAACTCGATGGATAGGCCGCAATGGGCCAATTTTATGGCCGCCTAGGTGTCCCGATTTGACAATTTGCGACATGTTTCCTTTGTTGTCTTAAACAACTGACATATCAAAGTAGGTGGAATGGTTTCAAATCGAAATTTTGCTTGAAAATCTGTAATGTGATGTATTTTGAAATTTGAAACAATATTTGTATTTAAGTTGTAAAAAAAGTCTAGTTTACCCTTTAGCAAATTTAATTTGTTTTTGTTTTTTTTTGGTACCAAAAAAAAAAACGCCCGGTATTGTGAATCTTACTTTTAAAATAATGAAAAATTTTTCCTTATCTCTCTGCACCATTTATTCTATTTGTGCTCTTGTTTACTCCATCCATGGACATACATAGATATATAAAAATAATTACATATAACATAACATAAATTAAATTGAAATGACAAAATCATTTTTATCATTTTTCATTCACTATGATCTTTCTCCTGCGGGTGAGTGTCAATATCATTTGTAGAAGTATTATTTTAGACATTTTTTGGAATTGTAACTTTAATTTAAATTTTGATTTTAACAGTTGTTTGTGTAATATTTAAAAATTTTATTATAAATAATAAATTTCAATATTTTTGAACAAATACTATTTAATTAATTTATTCATTTGTGAGAATACATAGTAAACGTCTTTTAATTCGTGAGTTTGAGAAGTTTCTTGCGTCATTTAAACCAACATAAATATGTTTCGTTAAGAATATACAGGGTGGCGAAATCGTGTAAGAAAAGACCATATCTCGATTTTCCCTCACTTCCATTCAACATCTTTCTTGTTCTACAAGCTATAAACTTGTCTTGTTTTTAAGATCCCTTAATCATTCTTGGTTCTAACTTGTATCGCATGGTACATTAATTCTTAACTAAACTTACATTATTAGGATAGTCTCAAAATATAAAAAAGCCCGGCGATTAAAAAAAATATTTTGTTGTAAACAAATTTTAATTATCACAAACTCGGAAATCATCTTTTCGTCTTAAAATTACTCAAATTATAACTAATCAGGAGTCTCTTAATAACTAACAACATCTAATATTTCTTTTTTATTCTTGATAATTTTGACATTATCGCTGATTACAAAATAAGGACTTTTTAACTTTACAAAAAAAACTTACTGTAATATTTTTTTCAAAACTTCTGGCATCCTCCTGGATCGGTTTCTGTTGTATCTAAACTGAACTGAAACAGTTTCAGTTAAGCTCTAAAAAAGCCAACACGATGATTGGCTAAACGGTAGCAAGTTCGAAACAACAAAAATCGACGCAAGAGGAATCCGGAAGTTTTGTAAAAAGTAAAATGAGGACTGAAATGGCATGGAATAGAAAAGTTTTGTTACCTTTATTGTAAGAATTTGCGAAGTTTTCTTTTTCTTCGATTTTTGATTGAATTAAATTGTTTCGTACATCATTTTGAATTAGTATTTACGTTCACGTGGGTAACCGTCGAAGTTTAGTATGTTGTACTTTTCACTAAGGGCTTAATCAAATATAATATAGAAGGTGACCCACCCAACTGACACTACAGGATGGTCTCAGCATATTACAATAATTATAATTGTTTTGAAAATATTTGTTAATAGATGTTGCATAAAACCAAAACGTAAATATTTTAAAAATATTTTCTATTATACTGAGTGTGTCATAAAATCTTGGCAATACAATTTTTTTTATTGCAATACCGTATTAAATTTTTGCATATTACGATTCATTTATAAGACCCGCCATTGTTTTTGAATTCAATGCGATGTTGTCAACTTAATGGAAAAAATAGAAAATAAGTTGTTATCCCACGATGTGACCTTAATTTAGTCAAATGCAGTATTAACATTTTAGTACAGTAAATAATAAAGGTCCCAAAACGCCTGTCAATTTTGATAAAGTTTCGAGATACCTATTCATTAATCATTTATTCGTTAACTTATCTACCTAGTCTATCTAGCCAGCCTTGAATATAGAATCAAGTGAAGTGCTTAAGTCACAGAAAAACGTTTTTTTTAAACATTGTCGCATTAACCCATATTATAATTATATGATTTCATTTTTAAATAAAGTTAATTTAAAACATTCAAATAAAGAAAAGCAAAGGTACTTTGCCCCACTTTTTTTGCTTATCTGGCACGTGATAGCAGCTCCATTGCTATAGTGAATTATGTAAGTTAGTTAAATTTGTCTCCACCTACAAGGGTTGATTAAAGACCTGAGGCGACATCAAAGTGAAGTGAAGTGAAGCGAAAAGAAGAACAGAATGTTTGTTCACATCAATCGTTTTTTTTTTACTTAACCCACGTTTTAGCGGAGGTTCAATTTTTCCCTTAGAAACGAAGCGACTATTCTCAAACTAATGACTGACCTTTATTTGACGGTATAACGTCCGGATTTTTGTCGTCTTTCTCGACTAGATCCTCGGACTCACTTCGCAGCGGCAGACTGACTTTATCCTTGACAGGCAGGAAGCGGGGTCTCACAGCGCGCGATCCATCCCTTCTGGCCTGCCGGATTTTAAGGGCTCCCAAAATTATGACAGTGACGAGCAATAAGGCGGTCACAATACCCACAAGGATGCCGAGGACGGGAGCAATTTCCAGCTGATCGCGGGTTCCCAAAGACAACACTGGAATGTGATAAGGGTTTCACGTATAATCAGAGAAACTCGAGAGCTGGTAAATTTTTGTAGAAACAAATTCGGATACCGGTTATAATTGTACTCTAGTAACTAATTAGAGTTAACAGTGTAGAATGAATTGAGCGTTTGCACCTGAACTTAAAATTTCCGTTATACGAGTAGATGAAACCATCAAATAACAGTAATTTATGTAGTACATTTAAAGTGCACCAAAATGTTTTTATTTAAACACCAAGTTTTTCGATAGAGGCTCTTTAGGATAACGAATTTCTTAATTTTTTTCATAACTGTAATACCACTCTATATTTTGTTTCCATCAAATTTATCGAACTAAATAAAAATTGTAATGGAAAAAAATGAGATGTTCAGTTGGTTGATTATTTTACAAATTTCTTTTTTTGCTTTTTGAAATCTTTTTAATAAGTTTGAGCTTAGAAAAGGTTTTCGTTTGTTCCAACTTGTTGCCTCCAGCGTCTTTAAATAATTGTGACGAATGGATACGAAGGGCCAAGCAATCCACTCTTCCGAGTCTGGCTCTACCAAATAACGCAAGAAAAGGTATTGGGCAGCTGAAAGTTCCAGCTTCGGTTTTATTCAGTTCGGATTATAATAATATAATAATAATCCATATATACAAAAATCTATTTCTGTTCGTTAGTCTCGCTGAAAACTCGAGAACGGCAGAACGGATTTATCTTATCGCGGTCTTGAAGAAAAATTATAATAATTGCCGGCAAAACTCTAAAAACAGCACTTTTCTTTTTCCCATATAAACGTTTTTTTCTAAATAAAATGTAGAGTCAATTTGAACTTTATTGCTATTCAGTGAAGTTCATATTAAATTACAATAACTCACTGTTGTCTAAGAAATGTAGCTGTATTCACAACTTCAAAGAGATATGGTGTTGCGATATCTTTGAGTGCGCGAGAACTTTCTTTACTTTGATGATCCTTTGTGATAGTGACATTCCAAGTGTTGTACTCTTTTTTGTTATATTTAGTGATAGTTGCACTTTACTGCTCAGTGAGCAAGAAATTTTCTCACTTTGATTAATTACAATTAACAATGCCGAGGAGAAGACGACCTGACTTAGGTCGTCGCAGTCAATCAAATGTGCAAAGAGCTACCTCACGTGCTAACCGCACTGATGACCAGAGAGAGACAGATCAAGAAAATTGTAGTATTGAAGTAGATAGGCTTAGAATGCAACGAGTTAATGCACATCAAACACAACAACAGCAAGTACCACATAATGAAATTGGTTGAACGAGCTGCATTCTACTATGATCCGGCAATTGATTATTGTGCCGACAAATCGGTAAGAATTGGGGACATGAAATAATTTGTAATTATTGTGAGGCGTTAAATACACTGGTCGATCTACTGGATTGTGTTGTGCTGGAGGCAAAGTAAAATGGCTACAGTTGTTCCCACGACCAAATCCTTTACGTTATTTGGTTTCTGGGAATGGAAATGATTCTAAGAACTTCTTGGCCAACATTCAGAAATAAAACAGCTGTTTCCAGATGACATCATTTGGCCCCAGACATATTATATAGGACAATTTCATGCATCATTCAAAAAATGCTTTTTTATTAAATACGGATTGTTTTGTTTGTTTTAAGATTATTTTATACAAAAGTTTAAGTCTTTTATTTATCGAATGAGGCAGTACGAAGTCTGCCGGATCTGCTAGTATTAATATAAATATTTGCGAAGTGCGTGATGACAGCACAATTTAAAAGACTAACTTAAATTCAATAAATTTAATTTAGTTTATTTATTATTTTATATACAGTTTTTATGTATTTATGGCATAGTAGATAAGGTAGTTGTGAAGTTTGTTTCACAGAGCTTTCAATTATTTTCCAAATTTGTTGAATATTGATATATAGTTTTGAATTTTACCCTGGTCTTACCGAATCTCAATCCAATTTTGTTTAAATGTACTTAATTTATACATTTAGAAACCGAGAAGAAAAATAGCGAAGTCTAACAGAACCGTCACTCATAAAAAATACTGTCCGCCAAAACAGCAATGGGACGGCAAAAAAAATGAGTAATTGAAATAAACATTTGAAAACAAAATTTTCTTGAAATAAAAGTTTTGCACATCTATAAAATCCTTCAGACATTCGTTTATTAAAAATTCGTTCCACTGCGTTTCGTTCGTGAGTATGTACAAAACTGATTGTTATTACAGTTCATAAAAAAGACATTTATTTCAATTTATTACTTGGTGCATGAATTTCGTAAAAATGCCAAAAAAATGATAATATTTTAGAGAATGCATACGATGGTGCTATATACTGCTCTAAAAGTAATTAGAAATTGCGATTTGGACACCTTCATTCAATACTACGCAATTTTTATGAAGAGGTTGTGAATTACGAAAATGATTCCAAATTCCTAAAGATTTTACCACGAAGTTACGTCGTCAAACTCGTCAGTCGATATTAGGCCAAAGGAACCTGAAACCATCAAATATTCTTCTACCCTTTAACCCAATTAAAATTTTAAAGTACTTTCACTTAGAAGGTTAAAAATTGATGTTGGAGAAAGGCATCCGAAATTAAAATTGACGAGTTGGTCGGAAGAGTTCTAAAACGCGATTTTTATGTTATGTTCCAAAATTCGAACGAAAGGAAATTTTCAACACTACCTGTTTGTTTTTCGGCCGCTTTCAACGTAAATCCTTCTAATAATGCCGGTTCACTTCTGCCCTTGCTATTTGCGGCGTAGACGACTATTTTAAGTTCTTTTCCCGGATCCAAACCACTTACGATAAATAAAGGGATAGTGGCTGAAACGTTACTCTGCAAAACTCCTGTTTTCCGGTCGTAAACCTGCAAACCAAACGAAGTACTTTTAAAATGGAGTTGTTATAGTTTATTGGCGAACACTGTATGCTTTTTGAAACGAACCACAATTATATGCCAACCTATTTTGCATTAAAGTTAATATTCAATTTTAGACAAACTTACGGAACTTATATCTAATAATGGAGTATTTAATTTCCTTCTGTAGGTAAATTTACAAAATTTTAATTAGCAATTTTAAATCTACAGGATGTTGTTTTAAATTACCTTAAATTGCGGAAAATATGTGAAAATTTTGATTTTTCTGTAGTTTCTCGGGAAACTTGTCTTGCAATAAATCAATTTTCATGATTTTGTATATTTGAATTTTTTTTGTGAACAGGTCGAAAATTTCAGTTACTTTTGCAGAACAAAAATTACAAAGAAATAACAATAACTAAATAAGCAGGTGATTTTCTCTCGAAAAAAATACAAAGATGGTTAAGTAAAACACTACTTACTTAAAAATATAGTTGAAACTAAAATAAAAATTTTGTTATTAATGGGATATGAAGAATGTCGAATACAAAAATTTCCAGCTAGCTCTGCATGTATATTTGAATATATCATCATATCAAAAAATAAATACTGAACAACAGAACTGAAAAATTTTATTTTTAGTGACAAAATATTAACTAAAATGTTATTGCCATAGGAATACAACGAAATACTTATTTATATCTCAAATTATTAGGTCAAGTAAATTCCAGAGTGGTTTAAAAAAGAACATTTTTCGATGCTTTTCATATAAACTTGTTTCTATATCAACTGCTTTAAATCATTAATGAATGCTGGTATATATTTCTAACGGCGAGTAAATTGCCCATTAGCGAGTACACACAGGAATATTTGCTTCAGAATATTTTATGAAAAGCTCCTAATTTTATGGACAATGAACTAACCCATAAAATCTTGTTCGAACTACGCAGATATATTCCGACACATTAAGTAAATTTAAAATTCTGTCGATGGCATACAAATCGTTTAAGTTAAGGAATTACTTTTTCAATTTGGTAAAATCAAAGAATGACGAAGAAGTCAGTAAGCAATATGCGAGGCAATGATTTTAAGAAAAGCTTTTCAAGTCGTTGTAAATTAAAACTCGTGCAGCAAGCCAAAGTATAATGAATTTAAAATTAAATAGCTAATCAAATAGAATGTTTTGTTATATTGTGTATTCTATTAACAAATGCAAAATATAGATATTAACCTATAAATGTTAACTTAAATTTATATAGTCTGGTTGAATTCGTCAAGGAGCTGGGATATAGTGGTAGTGTCACAAAATCAAAATGTTCGAAACTGTAAATGCATTAAATGTTTAGTTGCTCTGAAAGGCAGCATGTTCTGTCTTCAAAAATAGTTAGTGTTAAAATATATACTCTTTAATGCTGATTATCTGATGCACTAGACACAGTGCTTTAAATGGCATTTTCCTTAAATGCAATCTTATCTGATTATCATCTTATTTCGTACCACTGGCCTAGAACTTCAACTAAGTGTGTCTTGAATCTTTTCCGGCTTAAAATATTTTACTTTATTCGAAAACTGTGGGAAAAAGAGCAGCTCATCAACATGTACTAAATATGTTGCCGTAACCTTGACCGAAAAATTGGGCACGGGAAATTATTAAGAATAATTACTACAGGAAAAAGAAGAGATTGATTTAAATAAACAGAATTTAATTTTTGCCTGCTCGGAAAATGACTTTGATAAAACAAATAATGATAATTGTGTTTTTACGTGTCTCTAAATAGAATTGCTTTGAATTAAAAACATAATATATTTTTTTAGATAACTTTACGACACACTTATTCTATATACAATTATATTGACTCGAATGAAAGTGAATGTCCAGCAATAAAAAGAGATTTTTTACATATAGCAATAGGGATGCTATAATAATATAATCTATTGATTTGAACTCTCCAAGAGTTGGTGAAATTTATGGGTTCTTTTTTATAAGAACTATTCTGGCTGTTAGCAATGCAAAAACCGAACGTACGGTGTACTAATTTCTAGGCTCATTACCTCCAACTGGAAATGTTGCATTTGTCCTCCATCAAACCCTTCCTCGCAACCCACTTCCAACGAATCGTTCGAACGGTTTACTATCGAACAATTAAACAACGGGTCTGGTTTTCCCGCTGCGATTATATGAAATATGCATGGTTCCTGCTGCTTGCCTGCTAAGTTATTGGCCCAGCACATGACCTGGCAAAAATAAGAAATATATTATTAAGTAGGCACACTAGATACGACTATTTTTTAATACATATTTTTGTTAAATTTCCCTGATCCCTGCTGAATATCTATCTATAACGTTTCAATATACCAAAGCGATTTTTGTGAAAATACTAATTCACCTAATTTTTTGTCAATTAAATGATAATAACTGCGATTTTTTGAATCGCTGAAATTGTGATTGTAGTTTATGGAGATGAGAGACACCAAAAGTAAAATGAAAACATTTTTTACAAAACTTCTTAATTCCTCCTGCGTCAGTTTTCGCTGAGTCGAACTTGCTGACGTTTCGCCAATCATCTTGTTGGCTTCTTCAGAGCTTGACTGAAACTGGCTCGCGTTTTACTCTGTACCTACTTATATATTGTTTAAGGGGGTCGGAGCTAAATGAGGGGCATAAACACAGTCTCGTATGACTGACATTAGTGATAGATAAAGACCTTAGTCGCGGTTAAGATTGTTGGTTGTTTATAGATTTCTATAGCCTTTCGGATTTTTCGTAGGTAGAAGAATTCATTACATGCAAGAATTTTTAGTTTTATCGAATAAAATTTTATGTCCGGTTTATTTGTCTAAGTAGTAAGCCTCTTTCGTGTTCTTTGAGATTAGTAGATATTTTTTGTCCGGTTGCCGCATATGCGTGGAATGCTGTAAACTAATGGCATCTCAAATGGAATTTTATCTTTGATGGACCGAAGATGTGAGATTTTTGGACAAGTGGTAAATCTGGTTTTGACATTATACTTCCTTAGAACTTCTGATATGTGGTCAGTGATATTTTGAATGTAAGGAAGGACCACAGTGGCAAGTGTAGGATTGCTTTCGGCCTCATTGCTATTGGAAGGTTGTGGTGAAGTGTACTTTTTGATCGAACGCTTAATATCTTAAATGCGGAAATTATTAGAGAGGGGAGCAGAGGTAAGGTGTTTTAATTCTGGGTTCAGTGACTTGAGCTGAGAGAGTTTTACGGCTCTGTAAACAAAAGGATTAATAAATTTTATTGGATAAAAATTGCATGTAATCAATTCTTCTACCAAGGAAAAATACCAGAGTCTATAGAAATCTATAAACAACCTAACAATCTTAACCGCGACTCAGGTCTCTACCTGTCACCAATATGGGAATCAGTCATCCGAGACGGTTTTTATGCACCTGATTTAGCTCCGCCCCCTCAAACAGTACAGAGTAAAATGTGAGCCAGTTTCAGTCAAGCTCTGAAGAAGCCAACAGGATGATTGCCGAAACGTTAGCAAGTTTGACTCAACAACAACCGACGCAGGAGGAACCCAAAAGTATTACAGTAGCCTGTGGAAGTTTCTTTGATAAAATGAATATAATTTTCAGAGAAATTACCGCATAAATTGCAGGTGATTTTGCAAAGAGACTGAACTTCGAAATTTTGAGGTGAGTGAAACAAAATAGAAAGAATATTATATTTATTAGGTCCTAAATATTATTTACCGTTCCATAATCAAGCTCTGAAACTGGTGTGTATGTAAGCGTCGACGAAAAATGATGTGTCCCCGAATGATATCTGGTCTGTGGAACCTCGATTGTCTCAGCTGAATTATTGAACGACCATTTGAAACTGTCTGGAGGTGGATAAGATTCCACCTCACAGAGAACCCTTGCGTTTTCGTGGCGAGCTACGCCGTAGATCCGCTTCTGTACTGCTCTGCATATTGGTTTATCTAAGAAATGATTAATCTACTGCAATATATATCAGGCGGTTTTAATAATTTTCGATTTATTTTGGCAAGCAAAGCAACCAAATTGTTCATTTTTTCTCCCATGCCACCTTCAGTTTAAGAATTCCTGAATATTGTTCTGAAACGCGATAAATGTAAACGAGCAACACCTATTCCTATATGTGTTGGTAAAATAAATGGAGATATAAATTTAAGAATAATATTTTTTAAGACGCTTTATAAGCATAAACCGAGAGGTATTAATAAAAGTTGACGCAACTTATTTACGAATGACAAAGAACGGCACTGGTTTAGAAATAAAAAAGTTTTTTATGTCTAGCTAAAGTAAATGAGTGCTCATTTGAACTCCGACATAAAAAAGTTTCTCTCGCCAAAACCTAATTTGCTTTAAAACTTTAACCGTATTCCTGAATTATGCTCGATAAATAACCAATTTTATGGAAGGTGCGCCTAATTCCGCAATTCAGTCACACTATACCTACTTACACATAATTTTAAGTTCAACTACGTTGCTGTCTCCATCTCCTTCCACATTTGAAGCTACGCAGGAGTAGTTACCGGCTTGACTTCGAGTAACACCTTGCAGAGCCAGATCGCTGGTACTCATGATAACACCTGCTTTTTGGTTTGCTTGCATCACTTGGTTCTGTAATAATAGGTATATCGTAAAAATTATCTAAAAAAATTTATTAAGTTTTTAATTCAAAGCAATTCAATTGCCATTATTTAGTTGATTGAAGTCATTTTTTCCGTATATAAAAATTAAATTCGATTATTTTAACCAAACTCCACTTTTCCGTGCTGGACGTTCACTTTGTATATAGAATAAGTGCGGCGTAAAGTTATCTAAAAAAAATATATTATATTTTTAATTCAAAGCAATTCAATTTAGAGGCACGTAAAAACACAATTATCATTATTTGCAGAAGAATTAAAGCCATTTTCTCGGCACACAAGAATTGAATTCGGTTCATTTACATCAAACTCTTCCTTTTCTTGGTTGACGTTCACTTTCATTAGAGTCTATATTATTTTGCCAGTTCAGAAGGTGTTTTCGAAACAATTGTCATGCGAATATATAAAATTTCGTGAGAATCTGAACTTTTAGTTCTTATTTATTTTGTTAAATGGATTTTTATCAAGTTCAATATTTAGTATATGTTGATGATATGCTCTTTTTCCCACAGTTTTTGAATAAACTAAATTATGTTAGGGCGGAATAGATTCAAGGCACATTTAGTTAAAACATTTTGATAGGCAAGTGATATGAAATAAGATGATGATAGGATAAGATTGCATTTAAGGAAAATGCCAGGTAAAACACTATATCTGGAGCATCAGATAATCAGCATTAAAAAGTGTATATTTTGACACTAATTACAGTTTTGGCTTATCTGTGTCTATGATTGCTCTTAGCCGAACGCTTTGTATAAACATTTCATTATTTTAAACTATTTAGATGTTGGCTTGTAATAAAAACACACGTCGAAAGTACCTACATATATATTGTTAAAGAGGTCAATGAAGTGTCACCTTTATCTGGTTCAATAACTCGTTCATTAATTTTTTTTTTGTCGTGTCATGGTTTTCATATCTTACTCGAGGGCAAGGCGAATGGGGTTAGCCTCCAATACGTACGTCATTTTACGTCTAAGCGAAGTTTCTAACTTATAAGTAACATCCTTCTATATAGAAAAATCAATTGATAAAAATAATTAATAAATGATAGATAATTAATGCAAAGTCGAGTATATCAAATGGTTTTAAAAGCATGCATGCATGGCGATCTAGATAATTCCAGGTACGTTCCTACTACAAGGGAATATTGGTCTCTGACGCATTAACGATGCTGAATATTAATGATTCCGATTCAGTATTGTTTCCATATTGAGAATTGTAAATACCTAAAGCAATATGAAACTGAGTCAATAGATATAGATTGTTCGTTTTAATTGCCGTAAATATCGATCCATTGAAAATCTATTTCCCCGAGGCATAGCTACAAAATTTATTCTCTCCCTGCAAAATCAAATTTATTAATTAGCGTATCGACTGAAAGTGATGCAATGAGAGGTATTAACAATGTGTAGGGGTAATTTTATTTGGCCGATGTTGTTTCAGGGTTAAACAACCAATAGGTCCATTATATTTTTTCCATTCCATGTCTAATCAATGATATTTAGCTCGCCGGGAACGTTTTATTTCGTATTGCTTGCATTTTCTTTCTAGTGATCCTAAAGGTTGCTTGGTCCAATTGGAACCCCATTATTATTGGAGGTACGAATTTGTTGCATTTTTTCTACAGCTTAAGATAGTGAAAACAACAATACCATGTGCTATAGAAAGTTTTCCACCAATAAGCGTCTGATTTTTGCAATGTTCAATTTGATTTTACTGAGGGTTTCAAAAGTTATGAGAAAATGGGAAATACAAAAATTGTAAAGATTGTTAGGATACACACAGGGTGGCTCAAAAAAGTGTAACGAATACAACATATATTTTTTACTTTTAAATTTTGTTTTGAATTTATTTTGAACATTTTATTAATAATAATGATACATATCTAAACCAATTTGTTTTTCCAATATTATAATTTTTCTATAAAAAATACCAGTTTTCACACTTGCAAAAAAAAGAACGATAACACCATTATTTTTAAAGCCGAATCACTCATATTAACTATTTTTCCGCATCGCCCAGTAAATAAATCATATCAGTTAATTCAGCTTTTGGAAAATCTATACTTTAATACATTTTTTTTTTTAATTTACTGAGACCACAATAAATTTTATGAATTTATTTACTCAGCTGTCGGGTAAAAAGTTGACAACGTTATTTTGTCATTGCCAACAACTGATATTATAATAATCGTCTCGGTATTAAAATTAAAAATATTACCTAAATAAAAGTTGTAAGTTTTTGTAAAATCTTTCAGAGAAAATAATAATGTATGATGTAAATGATCCAAACATATTCGTTTAATTTGAATACCCTGAAGCTTTTTCGTTGCATATATCTCTTACGCCACCTTCGAATAAGGCTTATATCAAATTTGAGTGATTTTATACTTTAAAATAATTTTAAATTATACATCTTAACAATCTCTAAAATTTTTGTATTAACCATTTTCTCATAACTTTTAAAATCGATGAGATAATGGACTCTGCTCTATCGTTGACTCACGCTTTACAGTTCTGTTCATAAAAAAAGCCCTCAACAAGTCTTATGATCAATTGTTGTATTATTTAAACAATTTGCAATTTGTGGTTATTTCTTTGACATGTTTAACTTTTAGACGTCTATCAACAATCGATACCATGCACTTTTAAAATTAAGTGCCAAAATTAAAAAAGAACTACTTACGTCATGTCAAATTAGGTGCGGGTTTTTAATGAACAGGACGGTGTGTATGTGCGTAATTCAGTATCACCGGCATTGTTGCTAGGGCTCCAGGTGAAAAACAGACGCGCTGTTTTTGGTTTATTCAGGTTTGCTGGACAATGATTTCTGGTGCTTCAAACTACCCTTTCCTGGGTCTTGCTCATATTTAAAAATGTTTTTCGTCATGTACATGTATTAAATTATTGCGAGTATGAATTTATTATTGTATTATTTCAAGTATGTCACTCGAAATCAGAGAGAGAATCTGTTGAGACGTATACAAATATGCAGGGGTTATTTACATCAAAAACAAAGGTGGCGTATTTTTGATTTTTGACAGATATAATTTTTAATGGCTGAATCGGCTACCTCGTCAATACCTACAAGGGCTGCTGAAATTTGAAAATGGGGAACATTTTATTTCGAGTGAAACACTGAAAGTGATGTCCTTGTATCTGCAGGCTAAAAATGTACAAATGTGCTTCATTCAACCCATAATCTTGTAAGTAATGCCAATGCTGTTATATGAAGCAAACAATTGCATTTAAATTATGCATTACATGTAGAACAAAATATGCAGGGTTATTCAAAATTTAACACTTATTTCGTATACTATCTTGACTAGACACGTCAATGTAAAGGATCTGGGGATTTTATTTGACCAGTCGTTCTCTTTTGTACCTCACATTACAAAAATGGTTTCCAGTGCAATGCAAATTTACATTTGCTTCACAAGAAAAGGATTATCAGCATTACCATCAGGGAGGATTTCAGTAACAGTAACTTTTTGCGTTCTTCGTTTTTGAGGAAATTAATTATACATGGTAATTACGTATGAAGCTATAAAAAACGCTGCCGCTGTTTTGGAGTGTTTAAAATTTAACCGCGCAAATATTTTCTATGTAGCAAAAATTGCGAGTACTACTTAAACAATTCTTTCGAATAGTCGAAACCTCACTAATTTCTTTCGCAACAATAATGCAATTGCATCCTCTTCCAAGAATTGTATAAAATTGGCGCGAGGCAATTTTGTTCTGGGCGGATAAATAAAAGAAATTACCTTTCCTCTTGGTAGGATAAGATATTTTCTGATACTAAGAACAGTTGCTTGTTTTGTTCCCGCAAAACAAATGTTAGAAAGATTCTCAGAATGTAGATATCGCACTCAGTTTTTCGTAGAAAATCCAGCGTTTTCTCATTTGTATCATGTATTGAACCGTACTTCGAAATATCGTTTTGTCTGCTTAGAACTAATTTAATGAAGGGAAATGGATTTTACTAGAAAATTAAAACAATAATTATTAAATAAATCATACCAACCCGTAAAGTGGAAAATTTTGCTAAAATTCATTGTTTTGCGGTTGTCCCTTATTTGACTAATAATATAAATAAAAAAAAAATGCAAGTTTAATAAAGAGCGTTAAGCCCCTTATTTTCCTTGCAGAGATAGAAAAACAGCATTAAACAAAAAGATTTGAATTTTTCTCAGCTTGGAAATAACTATAAATATGTAAAAAGTTAGAATTTTCTTTATTTACTTAATTACACAGTAAATTTTATATTCGTTATTACATGTGGCTTCAGAAATTAATTAAAATTAAAAGGACAAAAGAGAAAAAGAAATTAGTGCTTAAATAATTTCAACCATTCGAAATGGTGTGAGGTTGATAGTTGAAGAAATTTTTTTCGTAAGAAATTCAATCTAGTGTTTCAATTTGTAGGCATTTGTTGTGTACGATAAACGTTTGTTAATTTCTTACAGTAAGTTTGGTTTTTGTTGGTTTCTTTTCACTTTAATTTTGTTTTTCAGTTGATTTAGTTAGAAGTAGGAATTAGTATCACTCCTTTACATAAAATTAATTAATTAAATTAAAATTAAATTAATTAATTTAAAGACCAATCAATGTAATATAAGTGCATATCCAAATACTGACGTGTATTGAAAAGACTTTTATATCGAGGAATAAAGAACATACATATGACAGGATAATTTTGTTTACGACGAATCCTAAATTAATATTCTTTTATCAGAAGAGGGTATGTTGGTGTGCAAATATTAATGACTACAAAACCCTATAATTTAACTTCAAGTTAAGACATATTTAAAGTTAATAGTTTTATTAAAGCACTCGTTCCGCTTGTGCCAAATAAAACTCGTGACTAAAATGGCGTTTGTAGAACTTATTGTATAATATACTAATTTTTTCTACGTTGAGGTAATTATATGACTTATATTCCTAACTCCTTTTATTTTATTACTTAAGCCCAATGATAAGATAATGATAAGACAAAATTATACAGGAAATGGCGAACATTGCTTTCAATATGTCCTGTTCTACCGACCCAATGCATTCTGGTACACGAAAATATTAAGAAAGTTGAGTTCATTATCCATTAGCAATAAAGAAAACACAACGAAATAAACTTAAATAATTAGATTTTATGCTCGCTCAGGTTTCATAACTTTTATCCAAGTTTTATTGGAATGAGTCTAGATTTCACAACTAACTTAATCAAATTAGACATTTAAATTTGTAAAGTGGCATGTCTGAACGACAAACGAATGAATATAAATTCTTTAGAGTAATTTTATGAATCGTTTACATTCAAATGAAGGAAAAATACGCTCGGCTTAGAACCATACCTTCGAACTTAATGAGGCGGACGGCTGTTCCGAAACTCTTCCTGAATAGAATTAGGAGATACAAATTACACAAAACTTCTGGGAATTTGTTTTGGCCGATTAATGTTCGAAGCAACCCCATTTATCTGTAATTTGTTTGCCTAGAAGGCTGTTTTACCAAAAGCGGATTAGACTTTTCAAAACCATTTAAATACAATGTGGGAGTTGACTTTTCAGAATGATATGATGACAGTTTAACAACAACTAAATTCAAACCATCATGATATATAAAAATAAATAAATATTTTCATTACCACTCAAATTTAATTCTAATATTCAATTTTGCAGTGTAAAAAATATTCCTGCTTCTAAAAATTCCTCATCCCAACACCCCGATTTTCTCAAAATTATTTAAGAAAATTCCGCCAAGAAGTCACTCTGTTAACATTATAACTGGCTGTCGTAACATAACAGCACAAAAAATGTCTTCATTCATTTCCTGGACACGTTTCAAGTGGGAAATGTTTTCGACGAGACAGCAAGGAATTCTTATCTTCTTAGCAGGACTCAGTCTTTTGTTGATGGTTTGATGGTGGTGAAGCAGTAAATTTTCCAAAGACGTGACTTTGTTTTATTGACACGGGACATTCTTTCCACGAACTTCTAACGTTCGTTTAGTTTAGATACATTCAAACAAATATACGGTCTGTTTATTTTAAGAAAAGGGGGTGTCTAAAGGCTTCGGAAAGATATACGCATGTACAAGGTAGTCATAACTGGAGTACAATAACAGGAAAAATCTGTTTTTAAACTAGATAGAGCTAAGTAAACTTACATGTTACATGCTCGCATTTTTAATGGTATGGTACATACGCCTTTCCAATAATTCCAATAATTTCCCTCTAAATGAGAACAACTTCTTATTGCAATAATAAATAGTCAATTATACACCCATCGAGCATGACGTTTGTCAGTTCTGACCGATGCATTCGTAATGTCACAAAAACTAATGGCCGCAGAATGGCAAATTGAGTATAGAGCAGTCATAAAGTTTTTGACAAAAGAAGGGTTAGCACCTAAAATTATTAAAGAAAGGCTGAATGGTGTGTACGGCCAAAGTTCTCCTTCGTATTCTATAGTGAAAGACTGGGCAAAACGTTTTCGAATGGGGCAGGAGTCCCTTGAAAATAATTCAAGTGTTCGTCGAATCCTGCACGATCATTTATGTATGCATAAGGTTAGTGCAAGATGGGTCCCTAAAAACCTTTCGGCTATTCAAAAACAACGCCGTGTCGGGTGTGCGCGGTCTTTTTTGGAACTCTGTGGGGCGGAACCGAAGCCTGTAATAGAAACTATTATGACCTTCTATCGAAAAAAGAATCAATGGAGTGGCGTCGTAGGGGTGAAGCACCTCCAAGAAAATTCAGAGTCTGCCAGTCAACAAAAAAGGTGATTGTGAAGGAATTCTTTTGATAAAGAAACTAATACCACTGTCAATGGTAAATATTACGCAACATTATTACAAAAAATGTGAGATTGCATAAGTGTCGAGGAAAAATGACCAGAGGCATGCGTTTTTTGCACGATAATGCACCTGTTCATACTTCTGGTGTTGCACAAGCTGCCATTTTAGAGTGTGGATTCCAACAGATAGATCATCCTCCCTATAGTCCAGATATGACCCCGAGCGACTATTATTTGTTTGGATATTCAAAAAAGGACTTACGTGGACGGCAGTTTAATGACCAAGTTGAGTTAAAAGAGGCTGTTTTAGCTCATTTTGCTGACAAACAAAAAGAATATTTTTTTATTTAACTTAATTTTGTTACTAAAGATATGTAATAAGTGCATTGAGGTTAAGGGGGATTATATTGAAAAATAATAAAAAAATGTTACTCTACTTGGCTTCTTTCATATTCAGGCCGGGAAATTTTGGCGCTGCCCTCGTTCTTACGAGAGAGGAGTAATCGAGAAGTTGGGGGAGAAATTACCTTTATAAGATTAGTCATGTTAGGACTCATACTTTAAACCTTTGTCACATATTTGTGATCACTACAACAATTAAAGATTTAAGGTTGGTTTCAGGTCATTATTTTAAACAGAGTATAATATCAATAATTCGACTTTTCTATACCTGTCTGCTTCACCTCCTTATCTAGCATCATTTTCTTGCGCGTTACGTTAAATATCCCTTTAAAGTGTTTCAGCTTTTTTATTTAATGAAATGTTTCCGGATTAGTTACATTTGTCTCGTGAAACTATTTTACTTGTAGTTGAAATGTTAATTGTTCGTTGTTGTTTTCATTTGTGTAGAAGCCATATTGAGACCAACCTTCTTGTTATGTTGGTTAGTATACATATATATCATTAAAGAGCTATAAAGCAAACGGAAAAACAAAGCAAGTGGTAAAAATATTAAAAATCTGAAAAGACAAATCTTAATTTACTGACCGGTAAGTAGGCTTTGAAAAAAATTTCCACTAATAATATCAAGAAGAACGCTAAAATAAACTTTTTGTCCTTTGTTTCCGATTAATTTATAATATAAAAATCTAGTTTATGAACGGCGAAGCAGTAGATATGATTATTGTGGTTTTGATTGCAACTTATAATTAAATCAAAATGATGTGACGTGTCCTTCAGATATTAACAACTTGATTTGATACTGAACAATAATTTTTAGGTGAAATACAAAATTTTGCCGCTTTTTTTTCAATCGTCTATCATTTTTAAATCTTCTACAGTTGGTGTCGTTACACATTTTGTTTGGTGTTATTACCTGAAGTTAGAAAAAAGATTTATGCATTAATTTTTTAAAGAAACTTCCACACTATTTACAAATTTTTCGGATTCCTCCTGCGTTGGTTGTTGATAAAATTAAGAAGCCAACAAGATGATTGGAGAGACGTCAGTAAGTTCGATTCATCCAGAACCGATGCAGGAGAAATCTAGAAGAATTGTAAATAGTTTTATACAATAAATTTAAAATATTTGGATAAGAAGTTCACGGGATAATGCACAATTTCTAATTCAGTATATCCTGTTTATTTGAAGAACCAGGAATCCAAAATTGTCCCTAATATATGAAAGATCTTGTTCTAACTATTTTCCGTGTACACAAACGTTACAAAAGATCTAATTTCTCTCTTAATAGATAACAGATATTGCAAGCTTAACTGTAATTTTTAGTGAGTTTTTGTCTGCTTTTAATAAAAATAGTATATTATGCAACAAGTGTGGTAAACGGCATTTGGGTCATGAGTTTATTTGGCACGAGCGGAGCTCAACGGAGCGAGTGTTTAATCAACGAGTGACTTAGAAAGCTTATTAAAAGTGTTGCATACTCTACTTTTTCCACCACCGCTAGTTTTTGGGTACATTTTTGCATGAGCGTGAGAGTTGACAAACGTCAAAATTCAAACCTTGCTGTAATATCCCGGATATGTCCGAAGGGGCTCGGATACGTGAGACAAGAAACTCACGTGGTAAATTGACGCTTACCGTACACTGGTGTATAATTAGGTATTTTACAGAACGGAGTAGAGAAGTACATGTTACTAAAGCTGTACGGTCGGTGTTAATGGCCCTGTATAAACTCGAAATCGCAATACACGTTATAGTTAATACTTACATCATGTTTCCAAAGGACTTTGTAAGCTGCCGGGTTTGAATCCACTTTACATTCAAAATAGACGTCATCACCTTCTTCAATATCTTCCGGATTTAGACTTGGACCAAGAGTTAAATTCAATATTGGAATATCTGCAATTAAGAACAATTGATTTTGAATACACTAGCAATATTAAATAAACTGTGTTTGAAAATCGTTTTCTGTAATTTGTCCAACCCTCAGCTGACAAGATCACATCGTATAGTCGACGATAATTGGTGATATAAGATAACATGCACAAACATTAATGTTTTTTCATATTCATATGAAAATCCGGTAATATTTTGAATTTACGTGACGAGTTATTTATTTCTGTTTTATTTTTTGTTTCAAATGTTTAGAAATGTTCTGGAAACTACAAAATTAATAAATTATCTGTGTCGTTTTTTCAAAGCTATTTCTAACCATGACAGCGACGAAGGAGGAAGAGGAAAAATAATTCGTTTGGTTCCAAAGAGACTATATGATAGTGGAAGTGATAGTGTATAGCACTTTATTGGCATGGCCTCCTAGTATTCCTTCGAGATATATTAATAAAAATCTCTCGCGTTTCCAGGGTGGTATGAAAATATAAAACATTCTTAAAATTGAAGTAAACTATTTTATGCAAGTAGCAGTAAACAAGGAAATGAAACCTTCAGGTGATAATAATACCTACTGAATTTGCAGACATTTTACATTTATAGGCCTATAAATCCGTCATCTAATATCACTCAATTACATTAAATAGTAAAATAATTGGGAATTTTCCGAGTTGTGCTGTTCTTCTAAACCTATAGCCAAAATTGGTACAGAATTTGTAAAACGTTATCATCATTTATATGGGCCAGAGTTTCTAATATACAGCGTTCATCTTCTGACTCACCTTAAAGGAGATGTTGATAAGTATGGTCCCTTGTAGAATTTTTCAGCTTTTCCTTTGAGAATTTTTTAGTCCAATTAAAGTCACTGGTTAAATTATAAAAATCTCCCTTGCAAAAATAAGTCGACGATTATTAGAATATGGTAACAGATTTAGTAGTACGCCTTACCTTAATTTGAAAACCTTAAAATGCGATTTTAAACATAATTGTGGGCCTCTGAACGTCAATGGTTATCATAACATAAAACGGTATAAAAAACTGTTTTTTGAAAATGTCACTGTAACGATAATTAACTTTTTTCATGCAAATTGTTATGGAATGATTGACAATAAAATTATTGAAATTCATTATATCTGAATGAGGCATGATGGATGTGGGTTTTCTGAATTACAAAATCTATTTTTACCTATCCATTAAATTTGTATATAGGTGTTCTAGGTGATTTATCTCTACAATTTTGTTCTTGGGATGCCTACAAATTACAATGTCAATGTATTATCCTTCCTTTGCAAGATGAGATCAATCGTTGCGCGTTTCCAGTATTACCTTTGAGCAACTTATGTAGACCTCCACAGCTCTTTTAATGTAGCTAAAATCTTTTTTTTTGTTATTTAGAAAAATGTTCGTCTTTGGATTTCATACTACATTAATTAGGGGCAACAAAGAATGACGTAATATTTCCGATATAATATAACGTTATTTTACCTTTCCTAATATATGTAAATAGGCTGTGACATTTTCACGTCATTTTTTCGTCATATACACGTCAACGGTAAGGCCGAATCAACGTAGTTGGTTACCAATAATCGACGTCATATTAACGTCATATTATCAGCTGGACCACATAAGCATGTTGTTCCTAATCCTCTAGGCTTGACTAGACACCATTCACGGTTTTAATTAACAAAAATTAGTGAAAATTGATAAAGACTTACATTTGTAACGAACGCAAAAATTGGAGGAATAGAACAAAAAGCCGGCATTTTCTCATCAAGAAAGAACTTACTTTCGTCGTGAGGTGACTTTATAGAGGCCCTTTTTAATTTACTCGCACCATTAAAGTTCTATAGATTTTCACACTTACAATAAACATTTAGTTTTATGCTGGCTTCCTCAATTCCACCATGCACCATTGGATTTATGGCTTGACATATAAGTGTTTTTTCATTGTCTTCCCGTGTTGGAACGAACGTTAAAACGGCAGTCGTTGAATTCCCGTCTTCGGCGGTCTGAAAATAAAAAGCACAGGTTACTAAATATTGCAAATCCCATATCGATAATTTATTCCAACAGTATTTGCAATGCTTCTAATAATTTACGAGATAGTATAATATTTTCCTTTGCTTGAATTTAAATGAAGTTTATTTAACGAAACGAAATGCAGGCAGGCTATACACATGAATAAATATTTGGTATTTATGCTGTGCTTTACTTGATTGGATTGTTAATTGATTAATACCCAAGAAAGAAAACAACAATGTACGCGATTTATCTATAAATCAGAAAACCTAATATTAGTTTTCTCTGTACTAGTTTCCAACGCCTAGTTATTTGGTACACTGTGAAATGTACTACGATCTTCTTTGAATGGGTAGTAATTGTTCCATATATTCTACAGATATTTTTTTATCTCTCAGCAAAAACAATGGCGATAACTCTTCGTATCAATCCCACAAAGTATCATGCTTACTTTTACAAGTTTTGCAGTAAAAAATTAGAGTCATTTTTCTGTATTAGAAAAGTCTCAGCGTTCCTCGCCTAGGTGAATATGGCGTTTGATTGTGAGTTGTGATTGTTTCCTTGCAGCGGATAACTTTGTCTTTGTTGTTTTGTGTGTGTGTTTTGCGTTATTGTTTTGAATTATGAATTACAACATTTGGATGATTATGGTTTTGTTATTTATCCCAAAGTTTAATTCATTCGACTGAGTCTATAATGTTTAAATACATTCGCATTGGTCTAAAAAATTTAAGACGACCCTGATATGATATGGTATATTTTTACTACATTAATTGGCAAAAATTGATGACTGAATTATATGAGCCACCATTAGATATTATAATAAATAGATATAGGCTGATTCATATTGTTCCTCAACAAGATGTATTTCAAAACCGACTACTCACAATTTTTCATATTGCTGTACCGAACTCTTGAAACTGTTTTGCGTATAAAATTTTATCTGCGACAGAAACTTTGAAAATATGAATGAACAATAAAATAGTTCTTTTTTAAATAAAATTTTCTTCACAAATTTACAATTATATCAAACTTTTATTTTCAAAATTCTTCCCTTAGCTGAATAGCATACTACTACTTTGTAAGCCAGTCCAAATTTTATCTAAACCACAAGATAATAGCGGCTGTAGTAGCGAAAATATTTTGCTTCATCGGTAAAAATTTTTCTACACCCTGCTCTAAAATAACCAAGTATGCACCGATCAAGCGTGGGGAAAGCCACTTTAGGTAAATATATTTCTTCCATTTTGGAAAATTGTCCCCTAAAAATAATGGTCGTAGAAAAATATAGTATGCCACACGTTGATAAATTTATCCCGAACTCGTTACTGGATTAATTATTAGGTTAATTTTAAATAGAAAAAAACAAAACAAGGTATGTTTTGTTTATGTTTATGAAAACTCCAAATAATACGTCAAACATTTTTACGGCGTTCTTTTATGATGTACGGACAGCGAATTTCGATTTAAAACTTAAAAGCACTGTTCAAATATTTTCACAAACATTTGTGAAGAAAATTTTTTTCTTTCACAGAACGTGTGTAATGTGTGTATACTTCGACCAGAAATATAGTGCTTTTATAACCGACCCCGTGATCAACTTTGCCTACTGCATAGTACTGCAAAACCAAACCCCTTATAGAACACTGCCAAGCAGACCTTTACCACATTCCAGGACGGTCCTACCTGCACTGAAAAACGGGATATAAGTATGTTTTCAATTTTTTGGGCAGAGCAATTCTTGAAACATGTACATAAAAAAATAATACAAAGTAATAATTTATTACGCTATATTTCATTATATTTGTACATAGTATTATCATTAATATACAAAATATTAAATATAATAATAATAAAGTATCAATACTTAGAAAATCGTCACTATCGCTACTGTCGTCATCTTGTTCAATGATCAAATCGATAAATATTTTTTTCTTTTATTGATCTATTTACTGCTATTTTAGCTACCTCTTGCCTAATTACGTTTATGGTACTATCACTAAATTTTGGTGCAGTGTTATTTTTTCTTATATGGGCTTTCAACTCAGACCAAATCATCTCAATCGGGTTAAATATACAATGATACGGGGGTAATCTCGAGATTTCATGCCAGTTTTGTTGTGCTATGGAATCGATTTTGTAGTCTTTATTAAAATGTTTCATTTTTAATAATTCCAGAAGTTGTTTTTTCTTGTAGCTCTCTTCAAAATATAAATCATTTTCGTATAGAAATTCATTTTTTTATTTATTTCAAGAAGTATTTGGAATTTTTCTAATTTGGGCCGAATGATACTAGGCATTATCCAACACAATAACAATATTTGGGGATAGTTTTGGCAACCGTTGATTTTCAAACCAGTCCTCATATATTTCCGCAGTCATGTTTTCATGATAATATAAACTTCAATCTTTTACGTTTTTGGCAGACAAAAATAAGGCTTTTTCAACCCAGTACACACTTGTTACTGTAATCACAATATCCTTTTTTACTGTGTCATGAATACACTATTGGCCAATTTTGCTCTCGAAATTTTTAAATTGCTTTTAAATAATCCACCCTTTATTGCGAAATTTATTATTTATTATTAATATTAGTATTATTGTTATTAATTGTTTTTATTATTAATTGTTTGGAACTGAAAATCGAAATTTTTCAAAAAAGTACGCAACGACTCTTTGGCACAACTAATGTTTAAGTCTGTCAGTACTTTTTTATACTGTTTATTGGGTTAAAACACTATCCACTCTATAAGCGTCGTAGATTATACGCCCTATTATATCTGCGTGTTGCTCTTTAAACACGCGCTAATTATCAGCATCTTCTGTAACTTTCCTCTTGACTATCCCATTTGCAACGATTTTTCTTACAGTTTACTTCGGTCATTGGTCATGTCACTTGTTTTTATTACTGCTCCTACCTTCCCTTCTGAACTTCTTATAAAATTGTAAACATTCAAAACAATTTGTTTAGCATCCGAAGACAAATGGATCCATTTTTCTTATTTATTGAGGTAGTTCGCCTTCTAAATTATCATTAGGTTCGACTACCATTTCCCCTTCGTCTTCAAATTCTGCGTTGATTTCCATATCTTCTTATAACAAGGGAACATCTGGTTCATTCCACGGTCTCCACATTTTAAAGTTTTAAAAAATCTTCAAAAAATGTTTAATTGTAAAAGTCTAATAAATATTTCTCTGTATTCTTATGACGTACCTTTACCTATCGCGAATATAATATATAGTCTTAAAAAAGAATCAAATAACTATGTAAAAGACACAAAAATACAAGAAGTATGTTGTTAATCGACAGGCACACAAGACAAAAATGATTATTTTCCAACTTACCTGTGAGATAAATAGAGTACAGGTAGTTACCCTTACCGTTTGAACTATCTAGTGAAAACAGTCTCGCAGATTCAAAGCACAAGAAACAGGTACATAAATACTTATTTACTGGAAGGATCAGAGTCAAATACCTCGACACCATATAGGAACATATTGCAATTTAGATTAAATTCTTAAGATCGATACTTATTCGAAAATACCCCGCAGCATTCATGCTTAGTTAAATTTAAAACGGTCCATTTATGTTTCAAACAAAAAGTTCAAGTTTCTACAAATATTGGTTATGCTCCATCTCAAGCAAGACCTACTTGATGCAGAATAAACATCTATGGTGATTTAAGTCTGAGCAGCCAAATTAGCCACTGAACTAACTGGGTGATCTCTTTACAATCTACCATCAACTGCAACTATTACTTAATGTAAAAGTAACGCTCACAGGGGAATTAGAATTTTCTAGAAGACTAACTTATTAAAAATTATAAAGGTAAACCTAAGCTGTGATGTTCATAAGAAAGATGAGCCAATGACACCCGAAAACTATAGGCCAATTTCTCTGTTGAGAACTATATCAAAAATTATAGAAAAAACTATAGGCTCGCGTTTAAATCAGTTTTTTACTAAAAATAAAATCTTAGTAAATGTACAACGAAGCCCTCGGTATGAACATTCTACTGGGACGGCTACAGTTGGCTTTGTGCAACATATTAATGATTTACTGGATAGGGGGGAGCACATATTGTGGCAAAATTGGAGACTGGATTGCGTCATATCTTAAGGGCCGAAAGTTCATTACCATAGCGAATAAGGTTTATTCTTCTGAGTATGACGTCGTTACTAGAGTGTCCCAGGGTAGTACTTTGGGTCCACTCTTATTCCTGATGTTTGTAAACGATTTACTATTGCATGTATCTACTGGGAAGGTGTTGTTGTTTGCTGTTGATACATCGATTTTTTTAACGGTATTGACGGTCGAGAAATTATGCCAATTATGCTTATGCTTTAGAAATACGTTATTTAAAATTTTCGCAGTTGAGGTAGATTAGCAACAGATTTTGTAACCCGAAAGGACTGTGAAGTTTTTGGGAGTCATTATAAATAGCAATTAAAACTAGTTGATCATGTTGAGACTGTTGGTAAGAAAGTAAACAGTGGTTATTATGGCGTTTTAAAGCTCAAACATGCTGTTGATGAACAAGGTGCATAATATGCACTGTGTTTTAAAATTATACATCCGTGTTTACTTTATATCTATGTGTTAAAATTGTGTTGAATTCTATACAATTTTTTTTATTTATTGTTTTCTTTGCTTCTTGATATGAATTGCTCATTTATATGATCAATAAAAAATGATTATCATTATTTTTATCATCACAACTCCAATAGTATATTACGCAACAAGTCCGGTAAATGACATTTGAGTAGCGGGTCTATTTGACAAGAACGGAGCGCAACTTAAATAGTTTATCAAATGTGTCGCATACTATACTTTTTCTACGACTACGACGGTACATTTTTGTAAAACGACATGGATTGACAAACGTCCCAATTGAAGTCGTGCGGTAATATCTCCGGAAACATCCGATTGCTCCCAAACCCGTGCCGTAAAATCCCGGAAATGTTCGAAGGGGTTGTGACGCTTTTTGCATGCTAGATCGGTGTAAGGTATTTTACAGAAGTCAGTAGAAAAAGTATTTTGCGGAATGGATAAGGTGGTAGCATCTTGCTTAGTTGGCACCTAAGTAAAACACGTAGCGAACAGCTTATATAAACAAATTCTCCCCCTTAAAAAAATACTATCAATAAAAAAGTTTTTCTACTCTCGTCTGTAAAATACCAAATTACACACCGATCTAGCGTGCGGGAAGCGTCACTTTACCACGTCAGTTTCGTTTCCCACGAATTCAAGCCACTTCGGAGATTTCCGGGATTTTACTGCGCGGGTTTGGGAGCAATCGGATGTTTTGGCCTTGAATTTTGACGTTTGTCAATTCTGACGGTCATGTCAGTGAATGTATCCTTGTTGTTTTGCGAAAATATACCCAAAAACTAACGGTCGTAGAAAAGTATAGCATGCAACACGTTCGGTTAATTTTTTAAGTCACTCGTTTATTAAACACTCGCTCCGCAGCGCTCCGCTCGTGTCAAGTAAATTCGTGACTTAAATGCTCTTTACCGCACTTGTTGCATAATATATTATTTTTATTGGTTTGTTTGAATTTGTAACATTACAAATTTCAAAATATATTTTTCCAGTTAAAACATTCGAATTACGACTAAAATTTCCTCTTTTAAGGGACTAGGCTACAAAGAAATGAAAAAAATATCGCGTAAATTATAACAATTTCTCAACCGAAAAGCATACTCTAGAAGATGTATTCAGGAGAATTCCTTTGTAGACCTTATAGAATGTTTTAATTCTTTAATATGAAGTGGAAGCACGTTGCACAAATTGGGGCTATTTAATTTAGTACCCACAAATAAGCCTGCTATTTCAAGTAAGATAGAACCACAATATTTGTCCTTTGCTAGACTGGAAAGTGTGAGCACATAACATTATATTATTAAAAGTTTTAGAAAGTTATTTCATTAAGAAACAAATACATTAACAGCCGGTATAATTAAAGATACTTTCTATAATTTTACACTTACCGTTTGTGTCACATTATATTTCGGAGATTTGAGTTCCTTTCCGTCCATTATCCAGGCAATTTTGGCCGGAGGTCGTGACCCAAATGTCTGGCACGGAATTTCATACTTCCTGTCGGCACTGAACGGGTTGTTGCTGCTCAAAATTTCCGTGCTTATAGGGCGGACTGCAACAAGCCAATATTGCGAACGGGAATTATTTAATTAATAGCATATTAGATGTATACATTAATATATTTAATATCGAAGAATCCCTATTATGAACTTTAATATACCCCTCGTATTAAATTCTTCAATACCGTCAATCCGAATTTAGAATTTAGTGCCTTCACAATCACAACAATCAATCACAAGCAGCCTTTGATAGTTATAGAGCATCAACAGTCTCGAATTGTCTATTTAAATGCTAGTCTATATACCTTGCCGCCAAAATTAACATTTTGAAAAAAGGATACGATGCTAAACGTTTTTAATATAGGCTTTTAGCGTCTAGTCTGCCTTTGTTCCAACATTTTCAAATCAAGGTGTTTAAGTGTTAATCAGCAAATATAGCAAGCCGTATTTTCAAAATATTGCAAATTTTATCTCGGTTACTCTGACATTTTCTATATTATGCTATTATCTTGATTCGGGTTTAAAGGCCGTCGTCGGTTGGAATTACTTCCTAACGTTTCGCTAGCACGAGTGGCGAACTTCTTCAGAGGTCCTCCCATCTCCGATGTTGGACGTAGACTGACGATTTCTCCTGCGCAGGTTGTATTTATGCCGATTGGTGGTGGGCGGGGCTTGTTCCGCTTCGGTTGGTCTCGGGATATCGATCGGTACTGCTCGGGCGTTCCTAAGGATCGGGTTCCAGATTTGGTTGAGGCTAAGGGTCTCCTCCTTTCTGTTGAAATTGTGTGGGTGTTTTTGTATCTCAATGGCTTCCCTGACTAGTCTGTTGTGATAGCCGTTGACCGATGCTAGTAACTTACAGCTCTCAAAGTGTATCCTGTGTTCCCCGCTGCCCAGTGCGTGTTCAGCTACTGCAGACTTCTCTGTCTGTCCTAGCCTGTAGCTTGCTTTATGCTCCTTAAGTCTCGTTCGCATTGATCTCTTGGTAGTTCCGATGTAGATCTTTCCGCATGAACACGGAATGCGGTAGACTCCTGCAGCTGAAAGTGAGTCCCTTTTGTCCTTCGCTGACCTGATGGTCTGCTGGATCTTCTTTGTAGGCTTAAAGATTGTTTTGATGTCGTGTCTTTTCAATACTCTGGCAATACTATCGGTGACACTTGGAATATAAGGCAGATATGCGTGGGAGGTGGAGGGTCGTTGTTCGGTATCCCGTGATCTTGATGATCTTGAGTTCATTGATCTCCCGATCTCCCTCTTGCCTCGAACGCAGTTTTCAGGTGTTCAAGTTCCATCTACAGGTTCTCCGGTTCGCAAATCCTTCGGGCTCGTTCTGTCAGGGTTCTGATAACCCCATACTATTGACTTGGGTGATGGTTGGATAGAGCATGCAGGTATCTGTCCGTATGGGTTGGTTTTCTGTGCACTGTGTGGCCCCTCTTGTTACCTCGCTTCCTCACTAGTACGTCTAAGAATGCAAGTTGTTGGTCATTTTCAGTCTCCATAGTAAACTGGATGCCGGGATGCTGACTGTTGAGATGCTGCAGAAAGTTGTTGAGCTTGTCCATACCATGTTTCCAAATCACGAAGGTGTCATCCACGTACCGGAACCACGTTGCTGGCTTGTACTCTGAGGTCTCGATCGCTTTTTCCTCAAAGTGTTCCATAAATAACTTGGCTGAACAAGGACAGACAGAGAAGTCTGCAGTAGCTGAACACGCACTGGGCAGCGGGGAACACAGGATACACTTTGAGAGCTGTAAGTTACTAGCATCGGTCAACGGCTATCACAACAGACTAGTCAGGGAAGTCATTGAGATACAAAAACACCCACACAATTTCGACAGAAAGGAGGAGACCCTTAGACTCAACCAAATCTGGAACCCGATCCTTAGGAACGCCCGAGCAGTACCGATCGATATCCCGAGACCAACCGAAACGGAACAAGCCCTGCCCACCACCAATCGGCATAAATACAACCTGGGCAGGAGAAATCGTCAGTCTACGTCCAACATGGGAGATGGAAGGACCTCTGAAGAAACTCGCCACTCTTGCTAGCGAAACGTTAGGAAGTAATTCCAACCGACGACGGCCTTTAAACCCGAATCAAGATAATAGCTTATCAACGAGCCGCGAAAGCCTTAACCAATTTATCATTTTCTATATTATTTTACATAATTTGCACTACTTTTTGATTGAAATTGATTCAATTATATCCGTCCGTATTATGGACTTAAAATAGATACAACGAAATTATTGGCGAAAACCTATCTGCGGTAACGCAAAGTCAAAGACGACTGCACTAGTCACTCCATGTAGGTACGTAATATCTAATTTCCACCGGTTTGGGTCGAATACTAAAACAACAATCTGTCAAGTGGTGCTTTGTTGTTTCGCAGGACGCTTGTCCGATTGAAACTCCTGTTACCATTCACGAAGCGTTTGTTGGCATTGGAGATGGTGTAATATAAAGGAAAGCACCTGAATGTATGCAATCTCAATTTAAAATTTCAATTTGGAGATCCGAAAATTGTTTGAGAGTCGATTTCCCCAAGATTTGGAAATAATATAGGGAATCGGGGCAATCCCCACGCGGCACAATACTTTTACAGAAAAATTCAGAACTTGGATAAGAAATACAAAAAGTAGTTATTATATTTTCCTTTAACTTTACAGCTTCTTTATATGGGCCAATGTAATTTAGCTTATTAACATATGAATGTCGGTCATAAAAGGTCGGTCAAAATCATCGGCATCTCCAATTGAAAACTTACATCACATTTTGTCACTGTTTGGTAATTTATTAGCATCTCCCGTTTGTTAGTTTCGTGAGATATTACACATAAAATAAAATATTTAGACAACACGAAAATTATTCCCTATAAATTGGCTTCGTGTAAGTAATTTAGATTCGAAGTTCTAGTTACTGTTAAAAAATTCTTAGTTTTCGTTTTGCTTTGCTTTTTCTATTTGCAATAGAAAAAATTTAGGACGTTGGAAACCAGCTATGGAAGCAAGAATAAAATTGAAAAATTTGTTCCAAAACTGCGCAATGACATCAATAATGATGATCCTTATATGCTCAAAAAGATCATAACTGGTGACGAATCATGGCTATATGATTATGACATCGAAACCAATGTCCAGTCATCCCAATGGAAGAACCCAGAATCGCCAAGACAGGAAAAAGCACGGCTATCAAATGTCAAGGTTTTGCTGACCGTTTTCTTTGATTATTGTGGCGTAGTACATCAAGAGTTCTTACAATGTCGTAGGGTCAATGACGTTATGCGCCGTTTGCGAGCAGCAATACGAATAAAACGTACGGAATTGTGGAAAAACAATGCATGGACTTTGCATCGCGATAATGCACCTGTTCACTCGTGGTTGCTTGCGTCTAACTTTTTGGCCAAAAACAAAACCATAATCATGCCTCAGCCATCATATTCACTCGATGTGGCCCTCTGCGACTTTCCCCTCTTCCCAACACTCAAGAAATCCATAAAAGGAAGGAGGTTTGGATCGATTGAGTAAAAATAGCTGGAAGATCTCAAGATGTACCAGAAAGTTCTTCGTGGATTAGAAAAAACGTTGGCACAATATCTAAAAAAAATAAATACTTTTTGATAAAACTTGAAGGTCACCTTACTTTTGGAATACAACTCGTATTATGCAACAAGTGTGGTAAACGGCATTTGAATCACGAGTGCTTAATAATGAGTGACTTAAATAGTTTACCAAACGTGTTGCATACTGCACTTTATTTACGACCCTTAGTTTTTAGGTACGTTTCGCCAAAACAACACGGATATGTTCACTAACATGACCGTTAGAATTGACAAACGTCAAAATTCAAACATCCGATTGCTAAGAATAACCCGTAAAAGTGCAAAGTGGCTCGCAGCGATAGGAAACGAAACTTACGTCCTAAAATGACACTTCCCGCACTCTAGATCGGTGTACAATAGAGAATTTTAGAGAAGCGAGTAGAAGAAATATTTTTATTAAGAATATTTTATAAAAACAAAACTCCGGCTAAATATCTATAACAAAGTAGATTGATGAAAATAATGAATTGGCTTCAATCCGAATAAATCCAAATAAAAAATATAAAAACAAAAAAAGCAGTAAAAAAAACAGTACCACAATCAAACACTACTTTTAGTTTTGTCCGAACTGGTCGAAGATTATAGGAATGAAAACATCAGTTGTTAAATAATTTCAAAGTTCGAGCTAAAGGAGCAAAATAGCCATAGTTGGCGCGATGAAATGAAATACAAAACATTGGGGAGTTCTGACGTCTTAGATGTTAAAACCACTGGACTGGAAGAGAGTCGGATAGTTACATATACCGTTCATAATTTTAAAAAACGTCAGGATATCGGGGTAGGTTCCCCTAATCTCTTTCAAAAAAGACTCACATTTTATATTTCTACGGCCTTTTTATGCTAAGAATATCAAAAATGCCCTTTGAAGAGTGTCCAATCTCTTAGTTCGACATCTGTAATTTGGAAACCACACTATTGAGGAGCAAAATAAATCGTTTAAAAAAATAGGGTGAGAGCAGTGTTCTATTACGGGTAATAAAATCAAGACATTTCATGCCTTTGATAACAAAGTTGATAACTCCAAACTCCCCCTAACTTTGGTGATGTTGTTAATAATATATCTATTTAAATGTTAGATAAGTGAGAAAAAGTAATACTAAAACACTTTTCAACATTTAGATAAAGACCATTTTCCCTGCACCACAAACCAACATTGTTAAGGTCATTCTGAAAAAGCTGAGCATCGATAAATGACTCAATTGTTTTTGAAATTTTAAAATCATCTGCAAAAGCAGTATATAGTCACTCAAATCTTTTAGAAACAAACTAAAGATAACTGGAACTATGTGTGAACGTTGAGGGACATCCCGAGTGCGCCACAAATTCTCTGGAAATATAGTTGTTGATTGGGATCTACTGTATACTCCCTATTAAAAAGCTGTGCCAGAATTTAACCAGAATACCATCCAGTCCCATTGTCTGAAACTTACGAACAGGATGCTCAT